CCTGTCCCCCCCCCCCCCCCCCCATGTACCATGCTCCGTACACTGCTATTAGCCAGAGCCCTGATGGCTGTGAGTTTCAACAGGCTGTGCTCTCCACAGAGCAACCAATGGCTTTATGCCTAGGGGCCATATATCTAAGCAGGCAGGATCAGCTCCCCTGGGCAAGCCAGACCTTCAGTGTCGGCTCAGAGATGCGGGCTTGGCTTCATGCACAGTGTCTCCTGGGATGACTGCCCTTGTCACTTTTCTTCACAGCTGGGCCAAATGCGAGCCTAGCGCATCCACCACCTTCCATGCCATCTTCCCGACTTTGCGGAATCCGCCGGAGGAAGGAAACTCAGGAGGACCTGCTGCATGAGCAGATGGTCTGCCTCGAGTCCCTCGTCTGGGGGCTTGACGAGGAGCTCAGAGAGCGGGCCACTGATTGGGAGGAGTGCCAGGCTGACCGGAAGCAGAGGAAGGCTGCCTGGGACAAGCTGGCACACCAGCACGAGGCCATGTGCTTCTCTCTCACCTCAGTAATGGAGTGCATGGTCAGTCCCCCTCCCACTTGGCTTCACCTCCTAGCCCCCCATGGACCGCCGGGACCCCAGAACACAGGGGAGTGAGACCTCCAGGGCAGCCAAAGCCTCACAAGCTGGCTGAACCAGCGCCACTTCCAGCCCCATCCCTGAGACCCTCCCACCCCCACTCCAGGTTTTTTTCCCAGTCCCTCCCCTGTTTTACATTCCCCAAATAAATACACTGTTTAAAAAAAAGGCTTTTGTATTTGCTCTGCAGGGGAGGGGGGAACGTGGGAAGGGAGGGGTGAGGAAGGAAAGGAACACAAGGGGAATGCAGGGGCCCCTTGTGGAGAGTCTCACAGCTGGCCTTGGCTGAAACTCTCCCTCAGATGAGCATAGCCCTCCAGATGAGCATAACTCCCTGATGTGCTTGTCAAAAGTCACTGGTATCCGGCTGCTCATAAGCCCTGGCCAGCCATTCAGCCACTGCCCCCCACCCTGTCAGGAAAGTTTCCCCCTTGCTCCCAAAGAGGTTCTGGAGTGCACAGCAGTCTGCCACCACGTAGCGCTAGCTGAGGTCCAGGTGGGTGAGGAAACTCCAGAACGTCCTCTTTAAGTGGCCAAATGCATACTCCATCAGCATGTAGCACCTGCTCAGCTTGGTACTGAAGTTCTCCTTGGTGGGGTCCAGACTGCTCATGTAAGACTTCATAACCCATGGAGCAAGGGATAGGCAGTGTCATCCAGGATGCATGTGGGCATGTCCACATCCCCGACTCTGATGCCGCAGTTCGGGAAAAAGTGCCATTGTGCATAGTCTGGAACAGGCATCAGTTCTGGAAGATTCGGGTATCAGGCACCTTTCCTGATCAGCCGATGCTGATGTTGGTGAAGAGTCCCTTGTGGTCCACAAGTGCCCCTTCCTGTTGATGTAGTCCAAGACACAGTGACTGGGGACCAGGATGGGGATAGGAGTACCATCTATGGCCCCTGCCACTTGAGGAAGCCCATAGCCGCAAAGCCATCCTCGATGGTGTCAATGTTGCCCAGAGTGACAACCCTCCATAGCAGCATGTTGCTGATGGCCTTGACTACGTGCAGAAGCACAGCCCTGACTGTGGATTTTCCCACACCAAACTGGCTCCTGATGGAGCAGTAGCTCTCCAGCGTGGCAAGCTTCCACAGGGCGATAATGACATACTTCTGCATGGGGATGGTGAGTTGCAAACAGATGTCCTGTCATCTGAGGGCAGGGGCGAGCCCAGAGCTCCAGGATGGTGGAAGTCCTGAAGCCACTGTTGGTCATCCCATTGCTGCATGACGATGTGGTCCCACCAGTCAGAACTAGTCTCCTTCCACCAAAAGTGGCATTCAATAGTGTCCAGGGAATTCAGAGACATTTGCAGCAGCAGGTTCACCAGAACCTGGGTGAAGAGGTCCTCCAGTTTGGGCTGGTCGTCGTCCTGATGGAGCAGCATGTGGGCAATAACTGGATAAACAGCACCGTGCAGCATAAGACCCGTGAGCTTGGCGCTGCTTTGTGGCAGCTCCAGCTCCATGATGGCAGTGGTGTGGTGTCCACAAGGGCAACAGAGCACCCTGCGTCTGCTTGGTGTCCCGAAAGGAGGGAGACAGTGCAGGACTGGCATGTGAAACACGGCTGTAGAGAGGAGCCCCTGAAAGCACGTGTATCAGCTTACCAGACCAAGCAGCCACAGGAAGGAATCCACCCTCCTGGTGCCCTCCCTGGAGTGCTCAAGCCCAAGTCTACACCCTGGTGCTTAAAAAAGCCTTGTTCGGATTCACTAGCTTGTTTTTCTGGCTGGGGTGGGGGGTTTTTTGGGCGGAGGAGGGGGAAGCTAAGGCTTAGTTTGAGGATTTTTGGCCCTTTGCTGCATTTGAGACCAGACTCTAAATGTTCTGTTGACCTATAGGGGGAAGATTCAGTCTGTTCCAAGTTTTCTAAAATTCTGCTTCTTACTCCTTTTTTCAATGATGATCATTATGATGATCATTATCTCACCAATCAAATGCCCCAATGCTGTTGTTTTAAACAGCTATTTCCCCGCTAGTACTCTCATAATGAGCCAGGCAAGGTCCATGAGTGTAGGAAAGTAGGAGCTTTCAGCCTCCAGCTGCCGAGGAACAAAGTGGAACAGAAGGCCATTAGCCAGCTGGAGAAGAACATGTTATCAGCTCTACTCCTTCTCTGCTCCCCACGCAGCACCATCTCTTCAGTGTGTATTCATTTCTGAGCTGTCCTCTGGAATATTTGGCAGTAACTCCACAGATGAAGTGCTTTAGCAGAGGCATTAAGAGGGAGGCATCTACATTCATCTACTCTTGCTCTCTTCCCCCATGTTCCTCTACCCCTGGTGCTGCAACTTGATCATAAAGGCAGCATCAGTTCTTCTCTCTGTCCTAACTGGCAATCCTTCCCCTCCCCTTTGGAAGAGCTTCACCTAGTACTCCTGGGCACAAGGAGCACAACTAGCCCATGCACAACCCTTCACGTGGATCCCAAAGCTCAAAAGTGAACATCCTTATCTCCATTTCACAAACTGAACAGAGGTACGGAGCAACTGGCCTATGGGAAAATCTGGTCCGAGGATGGCTTTAGACGATGTCCCCACCCCCTCTCCCCCTCCCCCAAGAAGAAACTATATGAACTGGAACTTTTTTGAATGATGAGAGGTAGAGGACACACATGCACACCAAACAGATCATTAAGAGACTTACCAATAGATGTCA